GGTGCTTATCAGCTAGGTTCCCTTTTCTCAGGAGCATGAGAAGTCCTTGGGATCCTGTTGGTAAGGGGGCAGGGCTATCTGAACCTTAACAATAACAGTGCAGATATGGTCTCCATCTTGTGAAGCAGGCCTTAAATTTAATCAGAAGGTGGTTGGTTAGTCCCATAACATTGTGCCACTATTGCACCAGTGGGCATATCTTGCCAGCCAAGTCATTATTGTAGCTCAGAGTTCATGACACCATGGAAATAAAAACAGAGCTAAAATAAATTAGCCCCAAAGTGGAGCCTTAGAATTTTTTAAAGTGTTGCTTAAATGTGAAAAGCAAAAACCTTTCACCTGTTCACCAAATATATTCAGCTCTGTGTTCTGATTATTAGTCCTTGGCTGTTGTCTTCTAGTGATACATTATAGTTAATAATGGCACCTAAAGAACAGGTTATGTTAACTTTTATTTACAAGTCTTTACAACCTTATTTCTGTTTTTACATTTTGCATTGTGTTTTGTAATATTTATACTGGTTATGCTTTATGATGCTAGAACTTCATTCTGAACAACATAATCTTGTCCTTACTGTAGGTCACCTTCTAGCATCTTGCTCTAACTAAAATTTTGAGAGCTTTCCTTCTTTTCCCATCCTTCTCATAAAAAGCATAATTAAAGTCAGCATTCTACCAAGAATTTACTTTTAAAAAAGTGTGTCCTCCAGTTTGTTTAGAGAATGGAGAACTAGAGATGACCTTGTAATTGTTATGGTGCTGGTGACAACTTCACCCCAGAGGTAAATGGGCTTGGGTGGCCCCAGAATATTAGCATAACAGCAGCCAGGTAAGGAAAAAAGAGCAACCAGCATGATTAACAAAAAGCTAATTTGCATAGCAAGCACATTTGTTTTTCCTTTGATTGTTAACTGACAGCTGTATAAAAAGCAAAGTTGCCTAGGCAAGTCAGCCTTTCCACAATATTGCTAATGCAGCAACATATACAGTACCCAGGCAGATTGGCAGAGACAGTCTCTGAATTTGAATCCTCACCATGTAGCATCTTCCCCATGAAGTCACATATTATTCCCCAAATCAAGGCCTGTGGGAAAGGCCCCTGACTGACAAAAGCCCAACTGTGCTTCTCGGGGTATCTAGATGAATAAAATTGAGCTTGGGAGACAAAGGAAAACAGATGCATGGACACCTAGAAGCAACATGTGGATCTGATAAGGAGGCAAGATTCCCTTTTCATGGTTATACCTAAAAAATCTAAGAAAAAGCTCAACCTCAGAGTCTCTCCTCTTCCCTAGAACAGCCAACCAACTAGTTCCATCCTTGCTGATCAATAACTGGAGCTCTTAGAAGAGTGACATTCTATATCTTGGCTTGAACAACAGCCACACAGAAGTGTTTAATTCATTGAACTGTATTCTCAATGCGTATTTATTAGAGTACAACAAAACTATTAAATGCGTAGCTGAACTTAAAAAATAGTATGTTCTCATTTACTACTATAGTCTCTAACTTAATGGAGAATATTGGGTACTTCGTATTTCACAATATAAAAGATGTGTCAAATATGACTCATTGGTGAGATGGATGGATAGAAATACAAATCCCAAATTAAGAATCAACATAACTGCCACCATTTTATGTCTATTAAAAGCTCCACTTTTATTTCTTTTCTTGTGGACAGGAATGCTTTCAGTTCATACTGCCAGCTCTACCTCATGCCATTGACCTCTTACGTGATGCCATTGTAAAAGTAAAGGAGGTGCATGATGAACTTGAAGATTTACCTTCCCCACCACCTCCTCTTTCTCCACCTCCTACAACTAGCCCCCATAAACAGACAGAAGACAAAGGGGTTCAGTGTGAGGAAGAGGAAGAAGAAAAGAAAGACAGTGGTGTTGCTTCAACAGAAGATAGTTCCTCATCACATATAACTGCAGCAGCCATTGCCGCAAAGGTAAGCCTTCTAAGAGAGAGACAGTTCTGAAGCACCCATTGGTGAATTACTGATTTCATCCTTCTTTTCATCTCATCCCTTCATAAGTTTAATACTTCCTTATTTTCCCAAAAATGGAACTGGAATATCCATTAAACTTATATCACTATGTGCTCTGTTCTGATATAGATTTTTTGTAAGCATTGAAGTTAGTGTGTGCTGAGGCACTAAAGATGTGCTATGTTGTAATGAACTTACAGCTGCAATAACCATGTGACCTTTAAGAACTCTTTGAATTTGTCGTTTTTATTAACAATACAATGATTATAGATGAAGAACATAAAAATTTAATAAATTCTTAAAGAAATAATACTCAGAAGTTAAAAGACCTCAGATAACTCAGGAAATTGGTTGGAAAAGATTAACTCAAAATTTTTGTCTGGTGTGGATATGCAAGCCTGTCATCCTAGTTACTAAGGAAACTGAGGCAAGAGAACTATATTACCACAACAAAATTTAAATACAAGAATTTTAAGCAGTTGAATTTTCCTTAAATAAACTTTGTTGAAATATTGGTCAACACAAATTATCCCAGCAGTATAGGGAGGAAAAGATATTTATATTTTAATTTAATAAAATAATAAATATTAGGATAGCCTCAAAGTTTTACAAATTTTCTTTGGATAGGTTTGGAAGTGAATATAGTATCATAAGGTGTTTCAGTAAATTTAGTCATCTTAAGCACATAACTTGATTTACATTATTATACACATCTAATAAAATCTATGTAATCTAACATCTGTAGAAAGTAACATATATCGGAGCCTGAAAGATAACTCAGCGGTTAAGAGCACTGGCTGCTCTTGCAGAGGACCTGAATTTTTCCCAGCACCCACATAGCAGCTAACAACCACCCATAACTCCAGTTCAAGGGACTCTGACGTCCTCTTCTGACCTCCGCAGGCATTGCATGACATGGGTGCACCTACCGACATGCAAACAATACACTCATACACATAAAAATAATAAATAAAATAATTTTTTTAAGTGAAGGTAATGTATATCATGTTTAGGAATAATAATCATTCATTAGTTGTTACTATACATGAAATTTTAATTGCTATATAAAGTTATTTTTAGGTCATATAGATACAAGAGTTATGAACATAAGTGAATTCTTGTCTGAGGACATACAGATTAGAATAATATAGAAATACTTTTCAGTTGTACATTTAGATAATCAATAGATGGTTGCTTTGTTGACCACTACATGATTCTGTCCTCAGATCAATCAATGATCCATTAAATCCTAATCATACTATTAAGTATTGAAGTTGTATATAGATTTTTTAATAGAACCAATTGGTGTAATAGGTTCATTTAAAATTCATATGTTCTTTCTCTTTTAATTAGAAGTGTAAAAAAAGACGATCAGTTTCTGTTGTAAAGAGAAAAAATCTTATCATTTACAACCAAAGCAGTTCTTTCATTCTAAGTTTAGAAAATTTGGGGATTTCATTGTTCCATTTATTTTCACCTGTTTTCCTTTTAATCATTTGCTTGTATGGTTTCATGTTTTCCTCTCACTGTTTTCATAATTGTTATGTGTTGTATGTTAGAAGCATCCATTCTACACCAGTCCTGCTGTTTTCATGGCACATGATGGGCAGCCCATCCCTGGTCTCATCAGTTATTCCCATCACGCAACAGGCAGTGCCGATAAACCGGTAAGACAACAGCTTTTGCACTAATGATTTTACATACACACACACACACACACACACACACACACACGTCCATATATTTATATAACAGTAATAGAGGTCAGGAAATTGAGAGGGAGTGGACAGGGAGAATATTCCATCAAAGAAACATTGTTTCCTTTGTGCCTAAATTGCTCTAAATCTTTTAAGATTCTATCATTTGTAATAAGGAACTTTCCTCACATGACTTTCAAGAAATTCATTGCCCCAGAAGTCTCTTTTTTTTTTTCCTTAGCAATTTTATTGCATATCTTTAAATGAATTGTTTGTCTTAGTTAAGATGGTTTCTTAAGGAGATTACCTTATTTCTTAAAAATCTGGAAAGATTGGATGCTGGAGTAATGACTCAGCAGTTAAGAGTACTGGCTCCTCTTGCAAAGGACCCAGGTTTAGTTCCGAGTACCCATATAGTAACTAACAACTATCCGTAACTCCGGGTCAGGAAATCTGATGCTCTCCTCTGTCCTCTGTTGGCACTGCATGGCATGGAGGCACTTAACACACATTCAGGCAAAACATTCATACACATAAAATAAAAATAAATGAATCAAAAAATTTTTAATATAGAAACACTGGTCAAGCTAATATTTAATTTGTATAACCTTGGTTTTTTCCACATGATTTTGCATCTCAATTTTATTTTCCTTCACTGTGTTCCCATTACAGTCATTTACAGAATACAATCTTTGAAAATTTCAAGATTGCTAATCTTTAGAAACATGTTTAAGGCTATTACTTTTTTCACTCACTGAAAGGCAAAATATGTTAATTATAAAAATTATTGAATATTAATCATTTAACAGTTATAATTTAGACCATGAATGTAAATCAGAAAATATCCATCTCAGCTCATACTATGTATATGAAATAAAAGGTACCAAAAAAAGAAAGCTAATCAAACTTTAAATAAACACTCCAAACTTAAGGTTAAAAAAAACAAGCCAACAACCTGGCACCAATGGTCTCTTTGGAGATAACAGTATCAGATGAATATTTTAATGTTTCTATTTCACAGGCCAATCTGGTTAAAAAGAGAAAAAATGGGTTAGTCAAAGGATGGGTAACAAATTTAAATGTTGTCTGGTATAAGTATTAATGATTTATTTTTCAAATGTACCAAATTTGAAGAATGTCTTTTTGAATTCTCATCTCATAAACTACCTATGGCCATTATTGAATAGGTTATAGGAAACCATTAGTGTTTTTCAAAATGAAATAATTGGAAGTTTTTGCATTATAATCAAGATTATAAGTTATTATATTCAAAGTTTTAGTTTAGTACATCACAAATTATTTGAGTAACTATATCTTTAGTTCCTTTGAGGATTGTACATAGCTAGTAACATTTGAAATGCATATGAAAGAAATTATCACATATGATGGGTGTTATAAATTATTAGGACCTAATTATCAGAAGGTACTAGTTTGAGAATAGCTACCAAAATGTTCTAAGTGGATATCCAAGTGGTATGCCCTAGGAACTTCTCATTTATTAACTGATATTTAATAATGCTTTGTAGTTAGTACCAGTATTGGTCATTTTATAACAGAGGGGTTTTTTTTCTTTCAGTGTATTTTTATTGAATTTGTGTGTATTTTGTACAATACATCTTAATCATATTTAGAGCCCCTCTTTCTTAACTGCTCCCCCATAATCCACCCACCAGATTTCATGCATTCTAGCATATATGACCTATCCAGTCATATTTGTGTATCTTGCTGTCTCTTGATGTGAGCTTATTCACTGGAGCCTGTTCAGCCAATCTAATGTCACTCCCTTCAAGAAGACCAGTTCACCCTCACCAAGCAGAGATCAGCTGCCCATAGTTCCTTGGCTAAAGTTAGGGCCTCCTGCCCATTTTCCCTAGTTCTATCCTGGTTTGGTTTTTTTTTTGTTGTTTGTTTGTTTTTTTTGTTTGTTTGTTATGTGTATGAGCATATTGCCTGTTCCATCCTGGGTGTTATATGCTTGAGTGTGCATGGGTCTTGTGCATATTGTCACCATTACTATAAGTCGTATGAGCAAGTTTCCAGAAGCCTGGAAGACTCAGTTTCCTTATGCTCATCACCACTCCTAGATCTTACAATCTCCACCTTCTCTTTCACAATGTTCCTTGAAGCCTGGGTGGGTGACCTTTAATATAGGAGTCCTATCCAGGGACACCACACTCTGCAGTGTCTTATTCTCTACACTTTAGCGAGTTGTGGCCTTCTATGTTCATGGCATTTCCCTAATTACAAAGGATGTTGAACACTTTTTAAGGTGTTTCTTAGCCATTTTTATTTCTTTTGAAAACTCTCTGTTCAGATCCATAACCCATCTTTTAATTGGGTCATTTGTTTGCTTGATTCTTTGTTTTTAGTTCTTTGTATATTCTGGATATTAATCTTCTGTGAAGATTTTCTCCCATGCTATAGATTTCCTCTTCACTCCATTGGTTGTTTCCTTTGCTGTACAGAAGTTTTTTGGTTTAAGGAGGTCCTAGTTGTCAACTGTTGATCTTAATTACTGAGCAACTGAAGTCCAATTTAGAAAGTCCTTCCTTCACCTATGTCTTGGAGGGTATTGCCTATGTTGTCTTACAGTTTCAGATTTCACGTCGAGGTCTTTGATTCATTTGGAGTTAACTTTTTTTTAGGGTGATAGATAAGGGTATGATTTCATTCTTCTGCAGGTGGAGATCCAGTTTTGCCAGCACCATTCTTTGAAGATGCTGTCTTTCTTCCAGTGTATGTTCTTGGAACATTTGTCAAATATCCAAGTGGCTGAAATTGCATGCACTCATGTTTGGATCTTCTATTTTGTTCCATTGATCTATGTGTCTGTTTTTGTGCCAGTATCATGCTGGGGTTTTTTTTTACTATAGCTCTGTAATATAGTTTGAAATCTGCTATGGTAATCCCCCCACCCACACCCATCATTGCTTTTTGTAATCAAGATTGCTTTGGCTATCAAGGGCCTTTTGTGCTTCCATATGAATTTTAAGATTTTTTTTCTAATTCTGTGAAGAATGTTCTGGGAGTTTTGATTGGCATTGCATTGAATATATAAATTGCTTTTGGTAAAATGATCATTTTCACAATATTAATTCTACCAGTGCATGATCACGGGAGATCTTTCCATCTTCTTATGTCTTTCTCAGTCTTTTTCTTCAAAGATTTAAAATTTTCATTGTAGGGATCTATAATGTCTATGGTTAGGTTTATTCCCAGGGGTTTTTGTTTAGTTTAGTTTTGTTTTTGAGTCTGGTATGAATGGAAGGGTTTCCGTGAATCTTTTCTCCAATTGTTTATTATTAGTATATAGTAAGACTACTGATTTTTGTAGGTTGATTTTGTAACTGCCTCTTTGCTGACAGTGTTGATCATTTCTAGAAGTCTTTTGGTAGACTTTTTTTCAGTTCATCCTCACCAAGCAGAAATCAGCTGCCAATAATTCCTTGGCTAAGGTTGGAGCCCCCTGCCCATTTGCCTCCTGGTTTGGTTTTTTGGGGGTTTTGTTTATTTGTTTGTTTGTTTGTTTTTAATGTATATGAGAGTATTTAGCCAGTTCCATCCTGGGTTTTATCTGATTGAGTATGCATTATATCTGCAAATAGGAATAATTTGATCTTTTCCGATTAGTACCCCTTTAATTTCATTCTCTTGTTTAATTTCTCTAGCAGGAGTTCCAAGTATTATATTGAAAAAGAGTGGAGATAGACAGCCTTATCTTATACCTGATTTTAATGGGAATGCTTCCAGTTTTTCTCCATTTAGAATGTTGTTGGCTATGGGCTTGTTTTTTGTAGCTTTAATATTGTTGGGGTATGTTTCTTCCGGTCCAATTTTCTCTACTACTTTTATAAATAAATGTTTGATTTTGTTGAAGATCTTTTCTGCATCTGTTGAGATGATCATTTGATTTTTGTCTTTAAATCCATTTATATGATTTATTACATTTATTGACTCATGTCTATTGAACCACCCCTGCATCTCTGAAATAAAGCTGAACTGATCGTGGTAGATGATCTTTTAGATGTGTGTCTGTATGTGGTTTGCAAGTATTTTTTGAGAAATTTTGCATCTATGTTCATTAAAGATATAGGCCTCTAATTTTCTTTTTAGTTTTGTCTTTACTCAGTTTTGCTATTAGAGTAATACTGGCATCATTGAAGGAGTTTGGGACTTAACCCTCTGTTTCTATCTTTTTGAATAATTTAAGTAGTATTGTTTGTAGATCTTCTTTGAAAGTATGGTAAATTCTGCTGTGAATCCATCTGGGCCTGGGCTTTTTTTAGTTGGGAGGCTTTGTATTACTGTTTCAGTTTCCTTTAAGCTGTTGATCTTTCTTGGTTTAGTTTGGTGGTTCCCATGAACTTAGAAATTCATCTATTTCTTTTAGGTTTTCAAATTTAATAGATTTAAAGTATTCCCTTCTGATGTTCTGGATCTTTTTGGTGTCTCTTGTGATGCTTCCCATTTCATCTCTGCTTTTGTTGATTTGGATTTGCTCTTGCTTTTGGTTAGATGGGTTAAGGGTCTGTATATCTTGTTTATCTTTTCAAAGAACCAGTATTTAGATTCATTGATTCTTTATATTTCTTACCTTTGTTTCTATTTCATTGATTTCTGCTCTGATTATTATTTTTTTCTCATCTATTGGGTTTATATCTGGTTTGTTTTTGCTTTTCCAAATTATTGTACCATTAACTCATTTATCCGTACTCTTTCTTATTTTTTAATGAGTTATGAATTTCCCTCAGGATTGTTTTTAATGTGTCCCAGAGGTTTTGTTGTATTGCATTACCATTTTCATTTAGTTCCAGGAATACTTTTATTTCTTTCTTGATTTCTTCTTCCACCCACTAATCATTCAGGAGTGCAGTGGGGGTTTCTTAGTTGTTTTTTGTTTTGTTTTGTTTTGTTTTGGTCTTTTTGAGACAGGGTCTCCCTATAGCCCCAGCTGGCCTGGCACTCACTTT